AGGCTGGAGGAGAGCCAGGGAGTGAGCCCCACCAGAAGTATCATAGGGGTGGCCACCCAAGACTTTTTTTTTTTGTATTTTAGTACAGAGTCCACAGCGTCTACAGAGTCTCACTACATAGATTGGACTCATAGTGATCCTTCCATTTTCAGCCTCCCAAGCACTGGGATTGCAGGCATGCACCACCACGCCCAGTCTCAATTGCCATCTCAGTGTGCCCTGGGGGCAGGGGCTGGCCCCACACACTGGGGATCCAACTCTGGCCTCTGCGTCTGCCTAAGTAGGCACTTTACTCTGCTGAGCTAACACCTAAGCCTTTTACATCTTGCCACAGTTTTCCTCAGATGCTGCCCATGGAACTACAGGGCTTGTTGTTTGCCCTGCTGGATTTTAGACTTGCTTTGCCCCATTCCTTTGCATTTCTGTTTTTCTAACTTTTGGAATAGAAATATCTACCTTGTGCTATTGAATGTTGGAAGTGTTTAACTTTTCTATTTATTTATATGGGGGCTTGAAGCTAAGAGTTATTTTTAAATCTCAAGGATGTTTTTCACTTGGAATTTTCAGCAAAGCTGAAATTATTAGGACTTTGGCAAAACTTGGAGATGGACTCGAGGCCTTTTGCACAAAATGAGGTGCATGAGTGTTGAGGGACCAGGGATGGAATGTTACAGTTTGTGTCTAGATGTCCCCCCAAAGTCTCATGTGCTCATAGAGTTTTTTCAGAGGTGGCTTAACCTAGACTGTGTAACTGATTCATAGTGCAATGCTGGGATTAAGGGTGTGAGTGCTGCACCCTCCCCTGGGCAAGTAGCCCACATACGATGCAGGGACTGGATGAGTCTTACCTTGCTCTCTTGGTGCTTTTTCTGTCTCCCAACGTCATGAACTGTTGCTGGCTGCCGTGCTACCCTGCCTTGGAGCCTGCTGATTATGAAGCATCTACAAACTATGAACTGAATGAATGTCTGCTCTCTTAGCTGTGAGTGTTGAGTATTTTGTGCTTGCAAGGACAAAGGGAACTAAGATGCAGGGAGTCCTGACAGGATTGCGCTGAGCTCCCCTGGAGATCTGTTTGCTGTCCAGTGCTCTACATTGCCACTCTCTAATCTGTTGTTTAGGTTGTAGTTTCCCCCACATCTATATGAGATTTCTCCCCTGGGTACCTTGAATGGCAGGTGTTGTGATCCCTGAGGAAGCCTACAGTGGGGCCGGTCTGTAATCCCAGACACTTGGGAGGTTCAGGCAAGAGGAGCGCGAGCTTGAAGCCAGCGGGAGCAACTCAGGCGCAGAGACAGGATTTTTTTTAAGTGACATCCAACTGGATGCTCATTTTAGAGATGGGACTCCTGTAAGACCAGCTCAATTTCAAAATTACTGGTTGTTTATGAAATTAAATTTTTATACTGGTTATTTATTAGTTTCATTTCTCTATTTTATTTCCCACCAATATTTCTTTTCCAATAACTTCCCCTGTACATTATAAAATGTCTGCAAGCATTACAGTTAGCCTTTCTGTTTCCTGTCCGTGTAACAGTCTGTACCCGGATTGCTCTTTAGCTTATCATTAAATAGTCCATATTCTTTCTTTCTTCTGGGTATCTAGTGTGGTGGGGCCATAAAAATATCTGCTGCAGCAGAACTACAGGATTCAGGGCTTCTGAGGGGAATTTCTGGGTCTGGGTCCTGAGGAATACTGTATACGAGAGTGGGGAGAGCTATGGGGCGCAGGGGAGCCACGGGGCAGTTAGGTGCTGCTGTGCACACTGCGAACAGCTCCTGTCATCTGCGGGCAGTGGGGGTGGGGAGGCGAGGCCTGTGGTTGCTGCAGAGGCTGACGGGGCGTCTTCCACCAACAGACTGCAGACAGACAGATGGATTGCTGCAGAGAGCTGCAGGATTGGGATGTGGAAGTGTCTACGCCCTCAGACTGCGACATGTGGCTCAACAGTACTGCGCAGTGCATCTCACAGAAACAGCATCTGTGTCTAACTATATAAACAGGGGAGCCCAGGGGTGGGGCGAGGGGAGAGGGAAAGGGTGACAAACACCCGCACCTATGCGTAGATGTCCCTGCTTGCCAGGATGAACTCAGTCATCATGCATCGCAAGCATTCCACGGTTGAAGACAGGCAAAGGAAGCAAGAGCGCAAGAACTCCATTGCACGGGGAGGTCCGCCCTGGTCCTGCGCACCGCTCTATCTGCACCACTTAGTGCGTGCGCTTGACACCTGCAGATAATAAATAAACATGGAAGGGCAAAACCAGGAAAGTAGAGGAGTGGATCATTTTCTGACTGCCGGGAGCCCCAGGGATCTGAATGCTGGAGCGCAGCTTTTGGAGCGGCTGGACCTCGAGGTCCCACCCTGTGGCTCATTGCCACCATCCCAGGTGCCACTAGGTAACTGGCTCACCGAGACACAGTTGATGTCACACAGTTTCAACCTTGGGGAAGGTTCTGGGCCACAGGTATAAAGACAAAGATAATGCTAAATACCGTCGTAATAAAAACTAACACTCCCTGGGGTTCAGCCTGTATTAGGCACTGTTGTAACTACTTGAAATGAAACTCTTCCTTTTATAGATTCTTCTCATGGTTTGTTGACAGAATTAGGAGGAACATTTGAGGCAAACTCAGCGCTGAGCCCTAGAAATATTTCTGGCTTCTCAGAGCAGTTAGCCAATTTGTTGCTCTTACCATATTGAATGATAACAACAGTAATTGCCTTCTGTTCCAAATAAAATGCTAAGAGGTTTTTAAGATTTCTGTCCCATGGATGAAGACCTAGACCTTGTCACCTCACAGAATAACTCATAGCCCAGCTTAGGCTGAGTGGTCAACAGCTGCAGAAACGACACCCTAAGCCTTGAGGCTGCGGGGTAAGTGGCCTTTGAAGGGGAGAACGTCTGTGGTTTTCCTCACATTCTCGGAGTATTTTGTGGCCTGAGACATAGAGGGCCGCTGCTTTAAAGAGACCTGGGCACTGCATGAGCAGCAAAGTCTGATGAGGATGTGGAGAGCACAGCCAGAGGGGCTGGCTTTCCTCCCTAGGAGGCCGGGACACCCGTGTGACAACCATGCTTGCTGGTGACACAGGCGTCTCCCTGTCCCTCCTGGAAGCACTCTTGTGGCCTGGAGGGTGCACCATAAGACTGCAGTTACTAGCTACATCACGAGCTTTGTAAACACCTCTGTGCTCAGATCAGCCAAGCATCGCTAGCTTTGAATGCAGCGACTCTGCCAGACAATTTCATACTGGCTTTGTAGGAACAGGAAGATTAGTAGCCATGGAAATTGCTTCCTATATCATCTAGTCCAGGGCTTCCACATTGCTGGCAAATTTGCCACTATGCTCCTTCTCAAGTCTGTGGATGACGTCTCTAATCAGGACAGCAGTCTACTTCTGTAGTGTGAGTCCTTAGGGCAGTGCCCAGGCAGCCCCCACCGACTGCCTTACCACGTGCGAGGGCACCAGACTCCTGCCCTCTCCTCCTGCAGGTCCAGCCCCACTTCCTGCAGCTGGGCAAAGCAGGGAAACGGCATTTGCCAAGTCTGTGGGCAGCCCTCAAGCATCACGAGGGAAGCGAGAGGCAGATACTAAGAAGGGGAAGTTTGCCCCTGTGAGCTGCAGGTGCACACACACCAAGCATCCTCTTGGCTTTCCCGGCCACTAGTCCCCTTTTTTCATAGGATAAAGTAGAAACGAAAACAAAACCACCTCTTTTAAGAGGTCCTTTAACTCCTTCTTGTACACAAGTTTACGAAGCATCCAAAAGCCAGCCTGTGAGTAATGGAAAGAAATCATGAATGATGATTTTAATTTGTTCTTTTTCAAGCAGTGAGAGTAGCACGCGAGACCCAGGCTACCTGCAGCTTCCTCTTAGCGCTCAAGGCCTGGGAAGCTCGAGCCCAAAAGCCAGGCCCATGGCCCAAGTCGGGTCACTCAGGTGCCCCTAGTTTCATTGAAGGGCCCTGGACACTTCATAGAAATAGAAACCGGTCCTCGACGTTCGAGGGAGAGGGAAGCCGGTTGTGCTGAAGGGAGAAATAGGAGCATGTACTTTCCCGAGTGTGCGTAAAGAAAGACCGCGAAGGCGTGTGCGGCTTCACTGGAGCAGGACATGAAATCATGCTCACTTCCACCTTTGCAACCCATTCACGAAAACTAAGCTTTGCAGCGAGTGCGCACCGCCGCGGCTCCCCGCCTCAGAAGCCTCTTTGGCCGCCTGCGCAAGGGCGGCAGAAAGTTCGCTTTTCAGCAGATCAGCAGGCCAGATTCAGAGCTCTGCCAGGCTAGTGTTGCTTTCTCCTGGTGAAGGCGGCGAGGCTGCAGGAAGGGAAGCAGCGCCACAGCACACAGCTCTCCCTTATCATTCTTCACCATGGACTCCAGACAGCGTGGCTTACGCCCCACGCTTCTCTCCTTTGCAGGAGAGCCCTGCTTGGACGTGGGAAATTTACTGATGTGAATTAAAACATGAGCCAGTATTATCTGAAAACATATTTATTGTCCGAATAATAAAACTTAGATGAGGAGGTGTTAGAATTGGAATTTTTCCCTCCTTGAAATACAAGTTCACAAGAAGCGAAAAGAAGCCCCCCGCCCCACTGAGGAAGAAGGCACGAGTAAGGAAGTGGCGGGTACGGAGGCTCTAAGGTGGGGCCTGCTTCTCTGTAACTGAGCCTGGCACAGGGAGGAAGAGGACCCGCAGGACAGAGCGCAGTCCTCATTGGGCGGGCGCACCAACCCCGCAAGGCTGCAAAGCTCGACTTCTTAAATCCCCAGCTCCGGGACAGACCCCAGAGGAACCTTGTACCTGTCTGCACGGGAGCTGGCGTGGACATCCCGGCTCTGCCCTGGCAAGAAGCAGACGCAGCTCAAGCCCGTGCTTAATAAATAAGAGAGCGAAGGGGAGTAAGCCAGCTGCTTGCAGGGGCTGCGGGCACACAGCGGACCCTCCCCCAACATCTGCAGAGCAGGCAGGGCTGCCGGGGGTCCTCCTGGACAGAACCTACCCTCCGCCAGTCCCCACTGCCATTTCCCTTGCGGCTGGCGCCCTGTCTTTGCAGAGTCCGGAAGCGCCCGCTGGGAAAGACTGGAGGTGTGGCTGGAATTGGACGACACAAGGTGTCGTCTTTATAGGTGCCACACACACAAATCCAGATCCCATAAATAACGCACAAAGCACAACCACTTGACCTCTGAGCCTTTCCAAATGGCCTCACATCCATCCTCAAACTGCAAATCCGGATATAAAAAGTAGCAAGTACAAGGGAAAGTCGAGCCCTGCCTTCTCCCCACCCCACCGCAGGCAGGCAGGACGGCGCTTCTGACCAGCCACCTACACTTTCAGGTAGTCCTTCTTCAGCCGCCCTAGCCGCGTGCCATGGCTCCGGATAGTGAGAGCCAGCAGCTCGTACTTGTCCCTGAGCCCCGCGGAGATGCCCAGCGTCTCCCTGAGCAGGGCGCGGGTGTGCACCAGCATCCCCAGGAAGTCCTCGTGGAGCCGGCTCTCCTGCCGACCGTCCTGCTCCTGGCCCTGCCGGAACTTGCTCTCCAGCTCGGTGAGGGAGCGGTCCGAGTTGGAGTAGGCGTCCCCGATCTGGTGCGACTCGCGGCGCAGGTACTTGCCGTAGCTCTCCTCGCCGTCCAGGTCGTAGGAGATGCTCTTGCTGATGCCCTCGAGCACTCGGCCCGAGTCCTCCACCTGGCGGCCCAGCACCGTGAACTCCTCGCGCAGGCTGAGGCGCAGCGCGTCCGCGGCCGGGCCCCCGGCGCCCTGGGCGCAGCGGTGGCGCTCGCTCACGCGGAACAGCAGCTGGCACTTCTCGGGGTCGTCGTTCTCCTCGTAGTCCCCATCCGGCACGAAGTAGTGGTGCAGGGTCCCGTTGGACATCTCCGGGTACAGAGGGCCATCGAAGTAGCCCTGGCACAAGTGGCAGAGGAGGCCGAGCCCCAGGAGCGTCGCCCACACCATCCTGACGCGCGCACAGGGTGATCAAGGACGCCAGAGAAGGAAAGGGGCCCCGGGAGTCAGCGCCTTCTCGAGCGCGCGTCCTGCGCGGTCCCCTCCGGCTGGATGCTCCCCGGACCCCGCGCCCCAGCGGGCGACATGTGTCTCAGCCCGGAGACCCGGCACCGCGCTGCCTCCGCCTCCTGTCCAGTCCCCCCTGGCTCCGCGAGGCACAGTGAGAGGCTGCGAGCGGTCTCCTTCTACGCGGCTCCTGCAGCTCTGCGCGCGGGGTGAGAATGCGCCTCTCTCTCGCTCGGGCTAAAGATATCCCCGCGCTCGAGTTACAACTGCTTTCGTCATTGGGACGCTGGACGCTGCCGGGGCACAAGTTTGGAGAGAAACCTCCGGCCAGGGCTCGCTGTTAAAGTTACAGAGTCGCTTTTAAAGATGCGAAGGCTGGGACTGGGGAGATGGCTCAGTGAAATAAGTGCTTCCGTGGCAAGTGCAAGGGTCTGAGTTCAATCCCGGTTCCGGAAAAAAAAAGAAAAAAGAAAAAAAAAAGAAGATGCGGAGGCTGACCTGGAGAGAGAGGCGACTGAGGGAAATGAGGGAGGAAGGAGAGCTCCCGCGGAGCCATGGTGAGCCCAAATGTGCTGAGGCCCAAGGGACAGACCTAGAGGAATGCAGTCCGCAGGTTTAAATAAACACCAGCCAGTTGACTGGGCCGGGATATAGTTCAGTGGTGTGAGCGCCTGATTGCCTGCCTGCCAAGTGTGGTCCTGATTTTTTCGATCCCTGGTACCGCCAAAAAAAGCAAAACAAAACAAAACACAAAACAAAACAAAAAAAGAAGGCAGACCCAAGTGGGTTGCCCGGGGAACACTAGCTAGTTGGGGGTGTTCCCTGTGTCTGCTTATCTTGAAAAAGTCTGCCTTGGAAGCCAAATCCCAAAGTGTCTGCAAGGGGGATTTCGTTTGGAAATAGGTGGCTAATAATAATGAAAACAGATAGAAATAAAAAATCAATTAATTCATAGTTATTAATAGGTTAAGATCAAAAACTGAAAAAAAAGTGGAATTTTGCCTGTTTGAAAAGACAACTGAAGCCATTGTGGAGTTCTCACTGAAAACTCATCCAGACTTAGCTTCTGTACTGATTTTTTAGCTTAATACTTCATGGCTGTTGCTTCTTTTCAGATATTTAAAAGCTTTAGAAAAACACCGGACTGCCAGAGATAGCCTCCTTTTTCTTATGGTGAAATGAAAGGGCAGAATATTCGAGGAATTGTTTGTGCTTACACAACTGAACTGTAGTGGAGTCATGTTTTAATTTGGAAAATAATACCTTATTTCTAGCCAGGCTATTTTAGGTTCTGATTTATGAGTCAGTCTGGCACGTGGTCACCGCGGCCACTCTTTCTGGCAGTGAGGGGTCCTTGTGTTTGTACTGAGCCCGGTCATGCTTCAGAACGGGGAACGCAGTGATCAGCACCAAGCTGCTTCAGATCCTGACCACCCTGAGGCATTCCTTCTGAGAAATGGGGCCGGCATTTAGCTATGACAAGCGAATGAGCAGCACTCCTACCTTGGACAGTGATGTGGATGACGGGGAATGATGGGAGGGTGGTGGCAGGGAGCCCCACTTCTGTCCTGATGCGGTGCTCTTCTGGCCTGGAGATGGGGCTGGGCCCCCCTCCCCCGCAGTGACCACTAGTGTTTATGTCTGTCCCTTTCTTAGCGTCCTAGGCTCCAGAGCCACATAGCTCTGTGATTGACACATGTGTTGTCCTCCCTTTTGTTGCTATGGACAACCCAGGCTCTGGGAGGGACAAGGGGAGAGCACTTAGCACTGAGACGCTCTGTCGACATGGTGTCTGTCCCACGTGTAGAGTTCTTGAGGCATGCCCTCCACACAGTTCAAATCCTGTCCAGGCAGCTGGCCTCATGAAGATGCCAAAGGATGCTTCTTAGTTAACCTTTATGCCAACTAGGAGACCAAGCCTAATTTTCACTCTATCCCAGCAAAAAGCGAGACTGCACTGTGAGACTCTGAAGGTTGTGGCTTAGTTCTTTTTTTCCCTTGGGACTTTCACTTGTGATAGCCTCAAATTGGCTATATGACCAAAGAAGAGAGGAAGAATGTCTCGCCCAAGTCCTCCTGATTCACTCAGCAGGCCAATTATACAAGTGCAGGCCAAGCCTGTTGGGGGGTGCACCAGTTGGTTACTTGCAGACACGAAGGTGTGCGGTGGGCCCTTCTGCCTGCCAAGAGCTTGCAGCCTGCTTAGAGGGGGTGTAAGAGAAGAAAAGAGCCACGAGTGGTCACTTATTTCCTCAGCATCCACTGTCTTCCTGTAGTTCCAAATCTAAAGATACAAACTCCAGAAAGAATTTTTTCAAGTAAATGGGATTGAATTTCAGTCTGACTAAGACAACGGGAAATTCATTTATTCAGATAAAAGTCTAACATTTCAGACAAGGTCTGGTCCAGACTCTACTTTCTCTCACATTAATTCTTGGCTCTCTTTCTTCTTTGTTCTTGGGCAGTGGCTTCCAATTTGGGCTCCGAATGGAGGCCAGTGTCTTTCAGGGATGAGCCTTCCTTTATTCATGCCTAGCAGAAACGCCAGGCTGGGTTTCCTGGTAACCCCAGCACACTCCTTGGGCAGCCTCAATGCCCACAGTTGACCGGATGTGGGTCATGACCACGAATCCACCCCCAAACCAGGCCTCCTGTGGCCTGAGCTCCTGGCCGGTTCTGTGGGCAAGGTGCTATGAAGACCACATGAAGGGGGCATTTACGGTCTTGTGTAGGAAAGGAACAGTAAGATCAAGGATTCTAGGGAAGCAATGATTAACATCCTTGCTACCGCCTGCCTTCTTCCACAGCGTGGTCCTCGTTAGCCACACCTAGAGGGTGCTGGCACCCTTAGGCAGCTGCATGCTGGTGCTTGTGGCGGCTGGCTGCAGGGGCTGGGTCCTCAGCTGTAGCACCTGCTGATTTCCACGGAGTACATATACTCTCTGTGGCCAGCATCCTTGGAAGCAAAGTTGAGAAAATAAATGCAGTGGGAAATCTGTACCAACCCACAGATTTCCCACTGCATAGACTCATTATGTGCAGAAAGTCCCGCGAGAGTGGAAAGTAGCAAAGCTCTCCTCATTAAAAGCAGCGAGTACTGCATATATTCCCAGTATTTTAATATTGCTTATTTAAAGTCGAATCTACGTCTTCAATAATGGCTAAGGTGACAGCTGGCTCGCACAGTTCCTGAAGCTCTAGCGGTCAGCTCTGGGGAGTCAGCACCGGCTGGCTCCAGTGCCAATTGCCTTCTGATCCACACTGCATTCTCCTCACATTTGACAGGTTTCGATTCCACCTTGGGCTCCTCTGGAAGGGCCAGAGCTAGGGCTTGGTCTTGGAGTGCAAGGAGCCAGAGAAGCTTTCCAAACACACTCATGCTAGACTGAGGACTTGGAAGAGTAAAATCAAGTGCAACCTACTGGGAGAGGCCACAGTTGAGCCCAGGACTGACACCTAGAGAGAAAGGAGGGAATTATTAATTTTACCAGGATATGGCTATATGTAAGAACTAAGGAGGCCCTCAGGAGCAGGGCTGACTCACAGGCATCAGCATACGTAGCACTGTCACCCAGTTCAGCTCTTTCTGTGTACGTAACCCCACAAGTCCAGCCAAATTGACTAGGCTAAGACTTCGTATCCTTCATTATTTGCAGTCCACTTTACAGTCTTGTTCTTTTGAACCTATGACTGTTTAGAGATGGAAGCAGGAATCTAGGCTACCACTATAACTATCAGAGCTTAAAGCTCTGTAGTTTTCCTTGCTAAAGACTTCTGTGGTCTTCTGGTTGTTTCTGATAATGGCAAAAGGACACTATTATAGAAAGGGGCTTCTGTTGATTAAGTATAGGGAGAGTTTGGGGGTGCAGCTGAGTAAACCAGACAGAGACTCTCAGAGATGAAAGCGCTCTCCGAATAACCAACACTGCTAGGCTCAATCTTGTGACCATGGCAAACCTGGAAAAAGAACAGAGGGTGTTATCTCTGGCCACAGTAGTGTCCTGAAGTAGGAGAGGAGAGGGAAGGTGAGAGGTGGGGAAGAGGGCAGGAAGGAGGCAGTATCTACCCTGGGATTATTTTTAACCAGCCAGGATGGAGAGAGTCATGCTCATTGAGCATCCGTTATTCACAACAGGTGGGAGGGTCAGGAGACAGGAAGAGAAGCACGGATAAGAGAAAGAAAAGACAAAGTGGGAAAGGAAAGATGGAATGAAGAAAGGAAGGAATGAAAAAGTGAAATGCATTTTGATTATGCAGGCTATTTATTTGTCACATTAGCTCACTAAAGTGGTTATTATTTACTATAAGGTCATTGGTAAGGAACAGGGAAAAATTAATCAGTGAAAATAAACACAATTTTTATTTAATGTAAGCAACGCATTGCAGCCACATTTCTCACAGTCTTTCTGTATTGCAGCGTGCTATGTTATGTCATAGTAACAGGCATCACTAAAATGCTCTCTCAGTCACTTTCTTGTCACTGGGCATGGTACCCCACACTCACAACCTAAAGGAGCAGAGATTTACTGTAGATCACATAGCAGTGCCAGTGGGCTGTTTCCAGGGCATGGTGGCTTGGCATAGGGGCCGGGGGCAGGGAAAGCCACTCACCTCATGCGGCACAGGAAGCAGAGGGAGTGAAGGGAGGAGCTCGGGGGAGCCTAAACACTGTCTCCTCTGACCCGAACCCACCTTCTAACAGGAAATCTGCCATCCAGTCACCCCACAATCCAATCACTTTCAGAAGCCCCACTTTTAAGCATGAGTCTTTGACATCTGGCTGTAACCCATAACACTCACTAACACCAAATTCAGGTAAATGGTAGGTCAAGGCTGCTCAGTGACTCTGCCATCCAAAGCACAAGGCTGGCCTGGATGACATGGTGGAGGAGAATACTCAAGGCCTCACAGTGCATTTCCAAGGCATGCTTCAGAAGGGACAAGTGTACCTTTGCATGCTGCCCATAGCCAAGGACACGGCCTTGTCATTGTGCAGAGGAACGAAGAGTCTTGTGCTTTCACATGCCAGGAGAACACTGGTTGTGAATGAGCTCTGGTTGTCTCTACTGTACTTTCCCACAGGAAAAGAAGAGTTAGAAGAGTTCTAGAGCTGCCAGACAGGAAGTGGACATGCATGTCTTCTGCAACGATGCGCATGTCTACCAGATGCTTCTTCTAGCCTTTGTAATAATCATTATGCTCCTACAGTCACTCCAGGTAGGAACCACAAGCAAAGCAGAGGTCCGCAAGTGTGTCCTTCACGGTCACTACTGGATTCTGAGTTGGATCCTTTCCAGCATTTCATGGGTGAAGACAGTGTACACCCAGTAGGAGAGGAAAGGACCTAGGTGGGGTCAGGGATGCTGAGGC